AGGGAATTGGCAACTGTAAGTTAAATTGTTTTGTCATAGCATTTTTATTTTACTTGTTTATATTTCTTTTATATAGTTTTACCCTTTATTTTTCTTATTTTCTTCAGGATTTCATGGTGCATGACCAGAAGTAACCTTGACGAGCCATTAGAACTAGTTGAACCTGAAATTGAAGGCTCTTTAGAAGAAGAAGACGTGATCAATGCACAAATATGTACCAAATTGGAAATCTAGGCATTGGTCATGAGGAGGATCAGAATACCGAGGCAAATCCATTTGCTGGGAATACACCCAGACCTCGTGCCATTAGTGATAACTTAAACCCAATTCTAGACGATTTAAATCCTGGAATTGTGGCACCAGAAATTCAGGCAACCCACTTCGAGCTCAAACCGATCATGTTCAATATGCTGAACTCCATAGGGCAGTTTGGGGGCATGCCAAATGAAGATGCCAGTCAGCATATTCGTAACTTCTTGGAGGTGTGTGGTTCTTTTCGCCAACAAGGGGTACACGAAGATGTTCTGAAATTAAAGCTATTTCCATATTCTCTGCGTGACCGAGCAAGGGCTTGGTTGAGTGGCATTCCCTCGGGTTCAATGGAGTCGTGGACTGATATGTGCAAAAACAAATTATACAGTATAATCCTCCGAACATAAACACACAACTGAGGAACGACATTGCTTCTTTTCGTCAAGCTGATGATGAGCCAATGTATGAGTGCTGGGATCGATACAAGGCATTACTTCGTAAGTGCTCAAATCATGGTTTTCAAGATTGAACGCAAGTCGTGATGTTCTACAATGGAGTAAACGCACCCACGAGGATGATGCTAGATGCCTCGACAAATGGGACACTGCTTGACAAATCACCAGCAGAGGCATTTGACATTCTGGATAAGATTGCCATCAACGATTATCAATTTCCATCCACAAGGCTTGGAGTTGGGTGAAAATCTCATGTAGCTTTCGAGCTAGATTCTAAGGATTTGGTGTCCACCCAACTTGCTGCTATCACCAACAAGTTGAAGAATTTGCAAAGGCCAAGTGAGGTGAGAGAAGTGAAGGTAGCTCATTCAGCATGTTTATTATGCCACGACAATCACAATGAGAGTGATTGCCCAACCAATCAAGAATCCATCAACTTTGTAGGCAACTTCAATCGAGGTAACAACAACCCCTATTCCAATACGTATAATCCTAGATGGCGTCAACATCCAAAATTTTTATGGGGAAATCAAGGAAACAACAATTCTCATCAACCAGCTCGGCAGCAAAATTTCAATGACTCCTAGGGATTTCAATCGAATATGCCATGGCATAATTCTAACAAGGGAGGACCATTTTCATTAAATACCAGTTCGTTAGAAGCCACAATGCAAGAGTTCATTGCAACAACAAAGACAATACTGCAAGATCATGTGACCTCCATCAAAAATCAAGAGGCCCTGCTTCAAAGACATAGTTCGTCATTAAGGGCGCTAGAGAGTCAGGTTGGTCAAATTGCCGCGGCATTACAAGAACGCAGACCAAGTCATTTACCGAGTGACACTGAAGTCACCAAACCTCATGGCAAAGAGAATTGCAGTGTGCTAACTCTCCGAAGTGGTACACTAATTAATGTTGAAGACAAGTTTGGGGGAAGACCGAAGGATGATTCACCCCTTGTAACCATGAAAGCTGATCAAGAAGTGCAAGAAGAAGCACCAGTGGAAGAGGACAAGGCTGAGAGTTCATCAAGTAAAGAAACTGAGGGGGCAAATAAAAATGCCAAGGCAACTTCTGTTCGCACCCCGTCAGTACAAGAAGCCAGACCCCCACCTTCTTTTTTGCAAAGACTGAAGAAGCATAACGAGGATATTTAATTCAGAAAATTCGTTGATATTCTGAGTCAACTTCAAATCAATGTTCCTTTTTTGGAGGCTATGGAACAAATGCCGACATATGCTAAATTCATCAAAGAAATTGTTACCAATAAGAGAAAAGTGGAGCAGTACGAGACAATTGCCACGGCAAAATAATTTTGCTCTTCATTAAGTAAGCTGCCACCAAAGAGACATGATCCTGGCAGTTTTATCATCCCATGTTCGATAGGAGACAAATTTATTGGGAAGGCACTTTGTGACCTTGGCTCAAGAGTAAACGTGATGCCTAAGTTAATTTTCGTGAAGCTTGGAATAGGGAATGCGAGACCCACATCTATCATCTTGCAGTTAGCTGATCGTTCACATGTTCGTCCTGAATGGTGAATTGAAGATGTCATCATGCGGGTTGACAAATTCATTTTTCCTGTTTATTTTTTTTATTCTAGACTATGAGGTTGATGCCACAGCACCCATGCAAGTTAACGATCTCATTGAAGATCTCATTGATTGTGAGAGGGGCGTGCTAACCATGCAAGTGGCCGATCAATAAGTCACTATGAATGTCTTCCGATCTCTCAAGTACATGGATGATTCTGAAGAATGCCAGAGCATTTTTGAAGTAGATACAACAATTGCAAAGGAAGTAGATCAATTTTTCCAAGATAATTTCATTCAGCCGGACCCTGATGAGAGGATACTTGAAGACTTAAAGGCTGGAGAGCTTAATGATTTTCCTACTGAGGAACAGCAGCTTAGCTTTGAACCTTTGAACTTTGAAGAGTTTGTTCCCCTAAGCCCTCATTACAGCATGTTCCTACCCTATAACTTAAGAATTTGCCACATCATCTTAATTATGCTTATCTGGATAGTAACAAAACTTTGCATGTGATTATTTCCTCTACCCTTACTCCTAATCAAGAATCGAGTTTGTTAAGTGTTTTGTCACATCATAAGAAAGCGTTGGGATAGACGATGACAGATCTGAAGGAAATAAGTCTAACTATCAACATGCACAAGATCCTGCTGGAAGAATGCCACGTCAAATCCATAGAGCCACAGTGAAGATTGAACCCAATCATGAAGCAAGTTATGATGAAAGAGATTCATAAATGGCTTGACGCTGGACTAATATACCCCATTTCAGACAGCTCATGGTTAAGTCCTGTCCAATGTGTGCCAAAGAACGGAGGCACGACCATGGTGACGAGTGAAGACAACGAGTTGTTACCTACACGCACAGTCACCGGGTGGAGAATCTACATTGACTACCGCAAGCTTAACAAGGCCACCAAGAAGGATCATTTCCCTTGCCGTTCATCGATCAAGTGATGGATCGACTTTCTGGCAAGGCATTTTATTGTTTCTTGGATGGATACTTGGGGTAAAATCAAATTGTCATCACACCAGAGGACCAGGAGAAGAAAACATTCATATGTCCCTATGGCATATATGCATTTCGAAGAATGCCATTTGGACTCTGTAATGCCCTGACAACTTTTCAGCGCTACATGTAAGCCATATTCTCAGACATGGTTGAGGATTTTCTGGAGATTTTTATGGACGATTTTTCTGTCTTCGGAGTTGACTTTCAAAAATGCCTCGACAATTTGGCAAAGGTACTAAAGGGATGTGAGGAGGCTAATCTTGTGCTGAACTGGGAAAAATGCCACTTCATGGTGACTGAGGGCATTATTTTAGGCCATAAAATTTCAGAAAAGGACATTGAGGTAGACAAAGCCAAGATCAAGGTGATCGAGAAGCTACCCCCATCAACTTCTGTCAAGGGCATTCGGAGTTTTCTTGGACATTCTGGATTTTATAGACGATTCATCAAGGACTTCTCCATAATATCCAAGCCCTTGTGCACCCTGCTGCAATAGAACCAACCGTTCGTATTCGATCAGAAATGTCATGGTGCATTCGATGAGCTGAAGAAGAGACTTATCTCTGCACCAATCGTAGTTCCCCAGACTGGATGACACCATTCGAATTAATGTGTGATGCAAGTGATTTTGTCGTGGGAGCTGTGCTTGGGCAGCGTAGAGGTAAAATCTTTCATGTTATATATTATGCTAGCCGTACCTTAAATGAGGCACAAATGAATTACACTACCACTGAGAAAGAATTACTTTCCGTGGTATTTGCATTTGACAAGTTTAGGCCATACTTGATAGACACCAAAGTCATAGTTCACACTGACCATTCTGCTTAGTGAACAAGAAAGATGCCAAGCCTAGACTTATTAGGTGGATATTACTGCTGCAAGAGTTCGACTTAGAGGTCATTTATAGGAAAGGTACTGAAACCAGGTTGTAGACCATTTATCTAGGCTAGAAAACATTTTAGAATGCCTTGAAATCATTGATATTAAAGAAGAATTCCCTGATGAGAAAATTTTATATGCCACGGCAATTCCGTAGTACGCTGATCTTGTTAATTTTCTTGTTAGTGGTGTTTTTCCTTATGAACTGAATAGGCAGGGCAAAAAGAGAACTGTTGCCACATAGCACCCTGTGGAGGGCATTTTGGTGGTGCGAGGACTGTTGTAAAGGTCCTCTAATCAGGCTTCTACTGGTCATCACTATTTAAGGATTCCCATGCATTTTGTAAAGCATGTGACAGATGCTAGCGCACTGGAAACATTTCCAGACGTCACGAAATGGCACTGCAAAATATTTTGGAGATTGAGTTATTCAATGTTTGGGGCATTAATTTCATGGGACCATTCCCATCTTCCTTTGGAGATTTATACATATTGTTTGCGGTGGACTATGTGTCTAAGTGGGTTAAAGCAATTGCCACACCAAGGAATGACTCAAAGACGGTGCTCAAGTTTCTTCACAAGAACATCTTCACTCGATTTAGAGTACCACGAGCCATTATCAGCGATGAAGGCACCCACTTTGATAACAAGCTAATCGCCAAGGCATTACAGAAATACAGAGTGCGACATAAGATTGCCACAACATATCACCCGCAAATAAATCGGCAAGCTGAAGTGTCCAACCGTGAAATCAAGCAAATCATGGAGAAGGTGGTGAACCCTCGAAGGAAAGACTGGTCCCCAAGACTCGATGAAGCACTTTGGGCATACCGGACGGCATTCAAAACACCTTTGAGAATGTCGCCCTTCAAGATGGTATATGGAAAAGCTTGTCACCTTCCAGTTAAGCTAGAACACAAGGCATACTGGGCGATAAAGAAGCTTAACTTTGATGAGCAACTTGCTCGGGAAAAGCGAATGCTTGATCTAAATGAAATAGAGGAGTTTCGAGCGCAAGCATATGAAAATGCCAAGCTCTATAAAGAGAATACCAAAAAGTGGCACGACAAAATGCTTTTTCCACGACATTTTCATGAGGGACAGAAAGTACTACTGTTTAACTCTAGGCTCAAACTCTTCCCAGGCAAATTAAAGTCACGGTGGTCGGGACCATTTGAAGTCTACCATGTTTACCCGTACGACCCTGTTGATATTAAGAACATGGAAGATGGGTCTATCTTTAAAGTTAATGGCCAGCGCCTAAAGGCTTACCAAGGAGTCCCACAATTGCGTGACAAGTTGGAGCTTCTCTTGCATGACGTCGATATTGGTCCAGCATCTTAAGGATGCCATGACATTTTAAATTTACTTCGGTGCATAAATAATTTTTACTTTGCCATTATTGTAGTCTTTCTTATTTTTAATTAATTGATTTTATTTTATTTTTGTTGCAAGGGGTATTCCACATGGCTAGCACGTGAGGTGTATGGTGGAAGCTTGTGAAAATTATGGCGGCAAACTTGAATAGTAAAAGGAGGGAAACTTTTTCACTTTTCACTCTTACTTAGGATTAAAATTGTTACTCTTTCTTTTTGTTTTCTTCTCGCCTAGACCCTACCATTTCACTTTTTTATGCCCTACAAAATCGCTATTTTGTTCTTATCTTCTTATTTTGCTTCACTTTAACTTTTTCTTCTTTCTCTTTCATCTTCTTCTTTCCTCCTTTGCCGAAACCACCATAACCGCCAAAAAGCTCTAAGCTTTTTCAACTTTTCTTTGTTTTCTCTTTGAACAATGGTCCGATCACGACCCTCTTCTTCTGCACCACCATATTTTGTGGACGATGCTATCAAGGACCGGTTCTAAACCATTAAAAACCGGCGAGTCTTTTTTGAGTTGGGATTTGTCTTCTTCGAGGAGAAGGATACCACCTTCGGAAGTGAAGTGCTCAATGTGGTTAACAAGTACAAGTGACATAAATTTTCCAAGCATCCGACCACTATCAACGCATCGATTGTGAAGGAGTTTTACTCAAACATCTCCGAGCCAAACCAATATGCCGTTGTAGTTCGTGGCATTTTTATTCAATTCACTCCTACTGCTATTAATCGCTACTTCAAATTGCAGGTTCTGGAAGACCGCCATACCACTTTTGCGTAAGATGCAAATAACGAAACATACCAAGGCATTATGGAAGACCTCTATCTTCCCGACACCCAATGGAACGGCCAACAACTAAGTCGCAGGACCGTGGACCGGGAGAAGCTGCTCCCGCAAGTGAAGTTGTTGAACCATTTTATGAAGCACAAACTTTTGCCTACTTCCCACAACACCACCGTGTCTTTCCAGCGGATGCTTTTACTACACTCCATCATATTCAGGTGCCCCATTGATATGGGGAAAATCATTGTAGAGAAAGCCCATTTATGCCTGAAGTGATCTGTAAGTGCCCTAGTATTTCCTAATCTCATCACTGCTTTATGCCATAAAAAGAAAGTTCCTGAGGAGCAGTTCGACGAGATTTTACCGGTATTGCTGGAATTACAATGGCAAAAATCCCTATGTTGTTGGGGCTGAAGGACGTAAAAGGAAAAGAAAAGGAGGCGATCACATCTCGTGTTTCACCATCTCCACATGCCAGGGCAAACTCAGATGCCTTTGAGCAGGCTATTCAGCGCACTTAAGAGCACGTCGGGCGGCTGTGCGACAAACTAATGACATATTTTGCCTACGCTAAGCGCCAAGATGAATTTTTCACCAACACCTTCTTAGAGTTTCTCCCACATACAAACTTCACCGTCCCAGACTTCCCTGCAACACTAGTGCCACCAAATGAGGATACCGAGGCATCTGCAGAAGTACCTCGCCCTGCCATTGCCGACGCTCATCAATCGCACAGTGAAGAAAGTCCCAGCCCACTGAAGCAGAAGAGCCCACTGAAGCTGAGGATCCCACTGACCCTGATCCCGTCCATGTTATATCGTCCGATGCAGATCGAGAAGCCAAACTCCAATTCACTCATCACCCGAAATCCCCACAATTTGTTGAACCCCTGGTGGCAGAAAATCCTGATATGCCGCAACCTGCTGCACCAATGGAAGAAGAGCACCCCAAAGTACCACAGCCCACCGAGTCAACCGAGGAATCCCAATCCGAGATGCCACGACAAGCTCCTTTGTGTAGGAGTTGACGCCGCCTGAAGAAGGCATCTAAGTGTGAGGAGCCCCAGCTCTCCAATATCCTAGAAGGTCCAAGTACTCCTCCAGCCACATCCACTTCTGACTCTGAACATTCTATTCCCGCCAAACTGAGAAAGCGCCCTCAGTGCGCGACCGCTACACCACCACCCGTTTAAGTCAAGGTACCTTGCATTGCAATGCATTAATAGCATGTAGTTTATTTTCCTTAGTTTTAGTAAGCATCGAGGACAATGCTTCTCTCAAGTTTGGGGGAAGTAGGGTTCTCGCATCATTGCATGATAGTATCAATACAATAAATAAGCCATGACATTAGTAAATGTTTAAATAGTTTTCTGGAATTAGTTAAGGATGCCCAATGATGATGAATCTTGATGGCTAGGATAGAATGTACATGACTGGTTGAGGATAATAGAACCAACTCTAGGACTTGCTTCTTTGAAATCCTTGAATATACGATTGTATGTTTTCCATGCTTGAGAAACTTAGGAAATTTTTATAAGAGAATTCTTAAATGACGTGGCATAAAACTTTGAATGATGAAAACTCCTTTTAAAAGAAATGAAAAATGATGGTAAAATTGTGAATAAATGCCTCGGTATATCTGTAGAGGGACACTCCGCTATGCCAGGGCATATGAGTGAATGAAAGTAGTCACGGGATGACTCTACCTGACTAGCTCGGGGGTAGAAGGTATGCTCCCTTTCATCTAGAGTGCGGAAGGGTAGAGTGATAGGCTGACTCCCGTCGTAGCAGAAGTAAAGAAAAGAAAGAAAGTTGGGAGTAAAAAATTTGTAAATGTCATGGCAAATTAAGAAAGCTTGTTTAGAAAATTTTTAAGTTTATTAAGCATGGACTGGATACAATCACGCACACACCCACACAAAGAATCTTGCTCTAGGGCACAATACTAGATTTCTCGAACTAGTCTAGCATGGTGAAGCCATATGTGCTGAGGGTTTAAATTTTATCCCATAAGACTATTCTGTTTCTGAACTTGTCATAGTATTTTTTTTTGCTTATTATTATCCATTGCTTAAGGACAAGCAATAGCTTAAGTTTGAGGGTATGATAACTCTGTAAAAGGTCACATTTTGGGACCTTTTCACTTAAGTTATTGAGTGTCTAAAAGCTCATATAGGACCATGTAGATGCATTTAGAAGAATTTAGTTGCATGTGGGGGAATTCAGTTTACCGTGACATTTTATTTTTAAAGCGGTGCTGCCTTATGGGAAAGGTGCTTGTTTGATGATGTGTAGGAATTGAAAGTAAGGAGAAAAGGAAAGAAAATGCCGTGACAAAAGGAGATTACTGAGAAAAATGAAATTGCCAAGTTCGACTGGCATTTTGATAGCGTTTAAAGTGCGAGAAGATATTTTTGAAGCCAGCTGTCTCCGATTTTCTGAGAGCTCTACCCGAGGAATCCACCTCGAAGATCCTCCTGGAGGGACTGGCACTGCAACTGTCAGTTCTGCTGATGATGCCGCCTGACCCTATAGATCTTGTCTGTCCTTGGGCGCCTACAACGGGATTATGTCGGTCACTCAGCCAGCTACCCAGGCTATATCATACCATGTTCTGTCCGACTCCCAAGCAATTTACCCATGGTTTTTGGGTTTCCTAGGAAAGTCAACACCAAGTCCTAGGATTAGTTTTCCCTATAAATAGAGGATGAAGCCACATTGTTGAAGACTTGGGTTCCAACCAAAATTGAGCTTAAAAGTTAGAGAGAGAGAGAGAGTCTCATCTTTCTCCGTCAATCCTACTTGCCGTGGCATTTATCCTAAACAAGCCTGAGGGAGTGGCGTCCTAAGCATCTGAGAGGAGCCAGTTTGCTGGGAGCAGTTCTTGGTGGCCGAGGAAAGCATTGGGCAGTGCACGTCGAAGGTTTTCTCTCATCTCCTTTGTTCTTTGCTTTAATTTTTTTTATTGGGTTGTAAGGAACGGGTGAAACTTGCCTTGTGCTTGTTTATTTCGAACCTTACCATGAATTAAACCTATTTGGTGGGAGTTCGCTTGGATGTTTAAGTTTTTATTTCAATGAATGGTTGTTTTTCTATGATATATTATATTTTTTTATGATACTTAATGCCTTAAGGTTGTAGGAGCTACGAGAGTAGCCTTTCCTTATGAGGTTTTTAGGGTTCGAAAGAATGCCTTGGCAAAATATCCTTAGTATTCGAGAGAAACTATGGAAGAACTACATAAACAAGGGGTTCTAGGTAGTAACTTGGCCTAATCCACCTTAGAGATAAGGTTAGGATTTTATTCGACTAAAAGGAGTTATACAAGATTGATAGGTTAGATACTAGTGTTGTCGCAAAACGGTATTGTCGAGACATATCCTGTTATCTGGACCAATAGGATCACTGCAGGGGTTTACGCTAATCGGTTTTGCCAAGGTATCTTTAATTTGTCGAGTCCCTTACTAGAGATAGCATAGGGCACCTCAATAGACTCTGTCGGGAAGGCTAGGCATAGAAGAAATACTATTAAGAGAAATAAACTTAGATTTTCCTAGTGACTTCTATCACACATTCCCATAGCTTCTTGGCATGTGAGAAAACTAAAGTCCTACATTTTAAATCCAGTATTTACATTTTATTTTGCCTTGACATTTCTATTTGTTTGCACTTATCACAATTGAATTTGCCACGACATTTCATCCAACTTGCCACGACATATTCAATTGCGACCACACTGCCACCATTCCATTTTCGCATCAGTCATTCCATTTTGCCACAACATTCTCATTTGTACATATCATCACTAACTTTACTTAGGTGACAAAGTAAAGTGCCTTGACAAACTTATTTGATTTCCCCAATTCCTTGTGGAGACGATACTCAACTTATCACTGTATTACTTGTTCGATTGTGTATACTTGAATATATATATGCACTCATTTATAGTACTCATACCAAGCGGACAATGATCATAATCTTCACAAATGGAATAGTGTAGTAGATGAAATTAGTTCAGGTTAGTTTCTTGGGAATTAAACTCTAAAGATGAAATTTTCCGACCTTCAATGACACCCAGACTTTAATAGGTTCTTCTTAATGAGCTTAAGAAATCTTGAATCTAAGTACTCAAAAAGCGGTTATTAGGCAAGTGTAATAAAGGCGATAATGTCTAAGGTGAGG